AAAACCGAATCACACTGTACATCAAAATAGAAATGTAGGCGATGGTTTTGTAAGTGAGTAACTTTAGAATAGTTGGGTGGAGCAGTTGTAGCTGTACATAATTGGTACTGAAAAAATCACCGAAACTTTCACTTGCGATACGCGCTTCATTTATCATTAAATTTACTCAATGCAGCACACATATGTCCTTCAATTAGTAAGTATTTAATAAGAAAATGATCACTGTTTACCTAGACTCATATTATAGGACACAGCGTTGTTGGCTTATTTATTTGCCGCTTTCCAAAATTACTGTCAACTTTCTTATTTCCAATTGCACACATACTTTGGTTTTATGGAGCATTCAATTTTTTACAATCTCAAACGTTAAAGTGGAACGTTATGTACATATGTTTAGAATTTTACTTGAAATTAAAATTTCAATAGGTATGATTTGGTGGTTTCATTTACACTTGAGGTTTTTCTAAAAAAAAAAAACGCATTTGATTGCGAAATTTTCAACGTGAAGATGTGATGACTAATAGTCAATAAAATTTGAATTTTTCAAATCACAATTAATACGAAAATCTCAATAATATGAGAAAAACATTTTGAAACATGAAATAAATTGACCTGGAATCTGATAGTTTTTCATTTGGGTGAAATTGTATATCAATGCTCTTTCTCATATTACCTATGTTGTGTAGCGTTCGTGTAACTGAATGAAAAAAGTGATATCTTAGTTCGAGGTGTAGCGAGTTGAACCTCAAAACGATGATCAGCCGCAGCTCGTCGCGTATTTCTGATATGTACTGATCTTGGTGGAATCAAATGTGTCAAGTCACTTGACCACATATCGTGAAAGTATCTGTAGAAGAGAGACAATTCTCCAACCTTTCTTCGATGTTTCAGGCTATCAAGATGGCCAGTGATGTTCGTTTCTCCAATTAGTCGGATGGCTTTTTTCTGAATGAAATCCAGCAGCTTCAGGGTATGCTTTGGGCGGAGCGGAGCTCCATACATGAAAAGAATGAAATCCTAGCGTTATAAAGCATCCAAAGTTGCTGAAGTGTGTACAGTTTTCTGATTCAGAACAGTGTTCCAAGTTTTTCAGAAGCAGCCTTTGCAGTCCCAGCGATATGATTGTGCCAAGACATATTGGTGTACATTTCAACCCCCAACAAACTTATCGAAGCAGAAAAAGGAATTGTCTGACCTGACATTGTTATATCCGGTTCAGAGACATTGAAGAAAGTCGATGCCTGGGTTTTCTTGGCATTGAATGGGGAATGTTCCTTCTGACGAAAATCAAGTATTTTTCATAAAAGAGCTCTAAAACAACGCATTTTGAACTTATTATTTCAACCTTTTTCTTTAAAAAATTATTTAAATACTTAAAAAAGAGGAATGAAATAATGCATTCAACATTTAAAGGGATTCGGTTCTATTTCACCATTTGGCAACATCGGTTATTGCTAATAAAGGGCAATGAATCTGTTACCTATATGAGACAAACAAAAATGACATATTTCAGAGGCGTGCTGTTCTGTTTACTTACGTTCCGAGTTCCGAGACATTCTGTGACATATGACATTTTGTGCACTTAATCTATCTTCCCCTATATAAATAAATAACAAAACAACTGTTGTTTATGTGGCTTGTGGAGGTGGTATTGAACTATAATTTAGATTTCGCCTTGATTGTTGATTTATAAAGATAATTTCCCTTTTTCAAAATAGAATATCTAGGTACGTATAAATTATTTCAACTTGATATAGGCGCTGTTGCCAATATGTGAATTAGAAACAAATCCCTTTAAACATTAAAAACCAACATTTGAAACATCAATTTGAATACTTTTCGAAGTGAATTTGAAAAACTCATGAATTAAACTCAACTCAATTTTGTTCAAACTTGCATTTGCTGTAATAGCTCAAATTGAGAAACATACCCCATTGAACCTGGTTACTTTCACCCCAATTCGAAATAACATCGATATCCTGATTAATATATTTATGCTACCTTCTGCTGCCGGTGAAGATGTGCATTTGCAGCCGATGTATTTGAACCCAAATGGAATAACGAGACAAGTGTGCTGTCGTTAGCAAAGCTATATATTAGATTTTCTGTTGTTTCCAGTAGGTTGTTGATAAACAATGAAAAGAAGATTGGTGACAATATGGATCCCAGGGGAATACCAGCGTTGATGATGAAAGTATTCGAAAGATATCCATCTACGGCCACTTGCAGGGAACGTTCTTTCGGGAAGCTGGAGAGTCATACCCAAAAATGATCCGACAAGCCATAGTATTGAGGCTTTGAAGTTTGGTCAGCAAACCCTCATGCCACACACGGTCAAAAGCCTCAGAAATATCAAGCGCAACAACTCTTGACTCTCCATGTGTCTCGTTTGCGTTCAAGGGCGTCGCCAGCTTATGACTAAGGGGGAAGCAATTTTGCAATATTATGGAGGATAAAAAATATAAACGCTTGGTACAGTCGAAAGCATGAAGCGTTACGTTCGAGTCTTTGCCTCGATGACGATTGTAATAAGAACGGTTCTGATATCAATGTATAAAACTTCACAAGCCCTCGACAGCAGCACAGTAATTATTATTTATTTCAACAAAAATAATATTTAATCAAAATATAGCCTTCGGGGATTTTTTGCAAAACTTTCAACCACTTTATCATTAAAATTATTCAGGTTTTTTATTTATTATAGCTCTGTGTACACTCATCATGGCCAGACCATTAAGGCGATCTTCTGCCATGGTGCT